GTGTGTGTGTGTGTGTGTGTGTGTGTGTGTGTGTGTGTGTGTGTGTGTACGGCTCAGGCCTGAGATGGGAAATGAGAGAATTGGGAATATCACGGCCGAGAAGAAGACACGAGGAATGGACCTCGTAGTGGGTGATCAGTGGGTTTTCTGCGCAAACACAGCCTGAAAACAAAGCAGCTAATTGAGAAATAAAAATAATGTCTATATTTTCTGACACTAAAGTGGACYGTGTCATGGCAAGAATTCATTAGTATTTTATCTGCTTAGAGGAATGGTTTAAACTTTTTTTGCCTGTTCTGAGAAGTTATTAATAATCAATATGTTACCTGCAGAAAAAAAACAATCACTCAGATTATCAGTTTGGATTTTTTTGATATTGTTTTATAAATGTGTGTAAATGTCTCTTTTTCATTAGTTACAAACTGGTGAAAGGTGGAATGCTCCCTCCGGGTGTGGGGTTAGTCTTTGCCTCAAGTGGACGAGTATCTCTTGGTAATGAGTGACAGCAGGTTGGAGCAGGAGATAGATCATCAGACCAGAGCCTCATCTGCAGTGATGAGGACGTTGCTGTGGTCTGCTATGGTGAAGAAGGAGCTAAGCTGAAAAACAGAACTCTTCATTAAGCAGTTCATCCACATTTGAGCACTCACTAATGGTCGTGACATGTGGCTTGTGGCCAACAGAACAAGATCCTGGATGAACTTCCTCTGTAGGACGGCTGGGTTGGCTTTTGGAATGAGACGAGGAGCTCTGTCAGCCGGGGAGAGCTCAGAGCTGAACCGCTGCTCCTCCTCATTGAAAGGAGTCGGCTGAAGTGGTTCGAGCATCGCATTAGCATCTGGGTGCCTCCTTCTGGAAGGTTTCCAGGCACATTCCATTAGTAAGAAACTGGGAGGCAGACTCAGAACTCACTGGAGGGACTACAGTATATATTCTCTTGGGCCTGGAAACGCCCTGGGATCCCCCAGGAGGAGCTGGAGAGTGCTGCTGAGGAGAATGATGTCTTGGTTTTCCTCCTGAACTTGTTGCATGGATGGATGGATGGATGGATGGATGGATGGATGGATGGATGGATGGATGGATGGATGGATGGATGGATGGATGGAGCTTTGTCCATGAGAAAATTACATTTTAAAAAAGAGACTACAAAATTGCACAAAATAAGTAAAGTAGTAAAAAAAGTTTGTTTTTTCCACTAAAACATTATGCTTTTTAAAGTGTCATTATGTTACATAAGATTGTTACTTTACCCAGTTATTCTTAACATCTTCCTTCTGGCAAAATAAGTTTAACTGCTAACAGAACACAGACAACTCAGTTTTTCAGAACACATAACCATCAATGTTTGCGTAAATGCTTGTCTAAAAGTGATGTGCGGATCGATATCGAAATACCACTACTACCCAAACTTTATGCTCCGGTATCAATACTAAAATCAAAATATGGATACTTTGATACTTCAGTCATTTCAGGTAATGTATATTATTAACAGGAACACAGTGGGAAGTACTAAACTCTTGAAATCTTATCTAAATCATATGTGCTTGGAGGGAACTACTTTTTCTTCCGCCTGAGGAATGCTGAGGTGCAGCGGCACAAGTTCAGTCATGCTAATATGTTTATGTAAGATAAATTAGGACCTACGTTTTAACTTTTATAACACTTTTTGCTAATCAAACAACAATTTATTGTAATGCTTTTATTATTTTACTTAGTTTTTATAGTTCAAAACACCATTTTCATATGATTGCGTCCTTTGTTTTGAAGCTCTACTGTGTTGTAAATGAGGTTGCTACATATACTTCTGAGTTTAAATGAATAAATAAATAACTCTGATGTTTTGTATTCGTTATGGAGTGGTGGTTTGAAATACATCATTTTTTTAGATTTACCAGACACATTAGGTGTATTTGTACAAAGTATCAGTATCCCCGATGTGAGCGTGAGTTTTACTCTGTATGGGAATCAGAAAGAAAACTGGTGTTATCAAACATCACTACTGTCTAATGCAAAACTGACAATTCTGTAATAGTTTATATTGTTCACATAAACACATGAAATTTTTGAGATTGGAGCCGTTTTAAAATAGCAGAGCTCAGACTGTCAGTTTGACTTCTGTCTAAACCATCTCTGCTTTCCAATAGCAACAAGAACACCACTTCAACAACAACAACAACAACAACAACAACAAAAGGAAACAACTAAAGAAACTGTTATTTGAAAATGTGATAGTCTTCTATGTGCGATGCCTCCTCTCAAACCTAAAGACTTGGCTAAGAACCGGACCAGACAGCAGATGCAGACCTTTAAATGGACACATAAACGAGAGCCCAGACTGGCTCGGTAACAGGGCTACCCTCCCCACCCCGACCAGTACGTGTAACACCTCTTCCTTGTGACATGAGAAGGTCATCACTCCACTTAGAAAGCACCCTCAGTCACTCATTCTTTTAAGGTTGGACGACATGCCATTAGACCTCAACAGATTTCCAAGCAAGATTCTTGGAATTCAAAATCAGAGCAGTAAAAGAGTAAAATCCAGGTTAAAAATGCTTCGAGAAACTCTTTCAGTGAGAAGCAGCAGAACCATCCTCATTTGTCCGCTGGTCACTGAACACACTCACAAGTGGCTCCATTGACATTATGATTATTATTTCTTCCCTGTTCCTCCAATTTGCCCTGTGTGCTAGTGGCTGTGGGTGGTGTATAGTGGATGATGGGTGTGTGTCCTGCAGGCCCAGTGAAGTGTTAATGATGTCCCCGCTGCCTCAGCCAGGTTATGGCATAGGGGCCGTTAGCCGCCCTGGGTAAACTGCACGGCTCCCAGAATAAATTGCCACCCGAAGCCACGCAGACTGGTCAGCCAGCCAATTACAGGCCTGCCCGCTCAGCTGAAGATGATGGGATGCGATGTTAATTGTACGCTTTCATTTTCTGGCAGGAGGTGAGTCACTCCGGCTGTCTTTCTTGACTGCCGTGCGCGCACTCAAACTGAAACGTCTCAATACGTGCAGCTCATGCCGACAACCG